CTTCTGAGGGCATGTGAATGAATACGGGGGGTGTTTGTTTGTATGCATTAATCCTAAAATCATGCTGAGAGAAACAGTGTTACAGAGCGTGTTCTCTTGTGTCCTTCCAATTGGTGTACTCATGTCTGATTTTGATTTGAGCAGGTGAATGACTCGATAGCCCATTAGCAAGCATTTGACCTACTATGTTCCCCATTTCCCTTTCTAGCTTTGACACTCCGTGTAATTTATGTAGCAATTACACTTCAGTTGTAACTCAATTCCCGGTTTTGTTCCTTTTACAGAAATTAGTACTGAAAGGCATCCTAATGATGGAGGGCTTGGAATAACCACCGAGCTATTTGTCTATTTAATATACATTTTTCAAAGATAGCATTTTAATGACTGGGAGAACACAATAGGGCTAACTGTACTTCAGAAGCTCAGCACTGAGCTTCAGACTCTTCGAATTTCAGGCTGCACTGTCAACGCTGAGTGATACCAAGAACTATGAAATGGAGAGCTACCCTGTTCCCCCCTCCCTATTCCCCTTGCAAAATAAAAAGCAGGGGAGAAAAACAATGCTACTCCGACTTATTTATCTTTATCCAGTTCCTCTGTCAGTAAGGGGATGAAGCGAAAAATTCAGAACAAAGTAACTTAAAAAATCAAAGGATTAAAACCCCATGTATGTGATCCTGATGAATTGGATGATTCAGAAGATGTTAACCAGAGCAACAGCTGTAATGGAAGGAGAGCCTGTAACAAACAGGTTTTCTGATTTATTGGGGTAATCAAGCATAGAAGTGGGCAGGCACTGGGTGGTACAGAATACCAACATTTTTTTTGTGCTGCCTGGGAGATATATTTGAACCTCTAGGGAAGAATTGCCCCCTCCCCCTTAATTCCCCTGAAGATTTTTTTTTTCTTTTCCTGAAAATGAAAGCAGGGAACGAGCATTTCCCTGAATCTCATTTTAAATCTTCCCAAGTTTAAAATGGTTACTGCTTGTTTATTACTGTTGGTAATGTAACTACCCTCACAGGAGACTAATCCTGCTTGTTGAGGACTCCATTCCCTAACGTAAGGGAGGTAATAAGTGAAGGGAAACCGGCAAATATAAATCTAGAGATGCTGGGCTGCTTAGAGAAATGCAACAAATGCCCTATGTTGTTTTCAGTGTGATTTAGCTTGGTAGCAACCAAAGGTCTTTGGATTAAAGACTTTTAAGGAAAGAACCCACCCTAAAATAACTCTTAAACCCATCTCTAATGCTGTTTTCCTTGCCTGCTACTGCAATGTCCCAACCTCTCTTTCATGTGTAAAATCAATGGGAACACAATGCAGACAAAGTTTAACATTACTTGACTGTGCTCATGTTCTTAGAGATAACAATCTATGTTCAGTGTGGTGGGACTGCGGCTTTCATCAAGTTTTGTCCCTTATAATACACATTACATTTTAACATGCTTTGCAAGTTTGCACGCAGGGAGCGTGCCCTGCAGTACAGGCTTTATAGTGATACTCCCTGAAATCCCTCAAGCAGTGTATTTGCTGAAAAATACCAAGTCTTGGTATTTATCAGTCTGGGAGTTTTCTCCTGCAGAGATGTTTTCTTCTTGAGATGAAATCCCTGAAGAGAAGTCCTGTCTAGCCTTGACTGGGCATTTTGAGCTTATAGATGTCTGGTTGCATCATCTATTCGTTCCTCTTTATTACTTCTGGGTATTTTCCAAGGCCCCCCCAGCAGCATGAAGTGCTCATCTCGGTTTCCATTGAGGTGATCTGAGTCTCACTCACACAGCACATAGCACCTTGCAAAGCTGCTTCTGTGCAACAACAGCCATAAGTAATTGACGTATGTAAATTCCAGCCACTTGTGACTGGAAGGAAGAAAGCATTCGATTACATCTCCCCAAACTTTTGTTTTCATCAGTATCGCTATTTTTTTCGTAGTCTTACGATCTTTCTCAGTAGAGCTTTTGTCTGTTGTATGTTTGTTAAGAAAATAATTCTTGTTTGCCTGTTGCAAGAAGAAAGAAGTTCACTGCACACATGGGATAATATTTGTTTGATTTCCTGATGTGGTTCCTGAAGCCAGAGTGTGAAAATGTTGATAAAGCCTCTTGAGATGATTATCACAGGGAAGTAGTCTTTTCTATTGTGTATGCATACAATTGCCCAGATTTACTTAAATTTTAAAATTATCATTATTATTTTATAGGCCCCTCAGAACAGGGTTTTAGTGGTGGTATTCTTTGTTGTTATTGTTTTTTTTAACAAGGTGCATGGTGTTGTGGTCAATAATTTCTCTGCAAGTGTTTCAACGCAGCTGTCACCAAGTTGTGAGTTTACTGAGTGAGTTGAATACTGTTTCTCTTCCCTAACTGGATGCAAGTTCAAAACCATTGCCTATTCTTAGCTTTTGCCATTTGCTATTTCTGCTGCTGGGTTTGCTGCAGTTACTAGTATGAGATTAATTTTTCTGTTAGTGAAGCAGTGCTCGAGAGTCCAGTCACAGGCTGAGAAGCCATTCTGTTAGGCTGAATTCAGTATCTACTTAAATGAGAAACCTCTCAAAAATAATACTGGAATAATATCACAGAGCATCCAAACAAGCAAAAGAAATAAAAAACAAATGAAGAAAACAGTCTGCCTTCTGTGCCTTCAGGTGGAGTAAATCTGGGCTTCAGTAAATATTTTCCCTGAGCTTGTGATTTCATAGCTGAGCGACTCCCAACAGAACCACCTGTTTGCCAGCTTTTTACCAGCCCCAAGCTACTCCTTTCTCTCCTGAGCCTCCCTAAAATTTTCCTGCTTCAAGCACCCCCAAGTCAAAGCCCCTGAAACTACTGTGGTTGCCTGCTTGGCTACAGCTGCTGTAACCCCTCTCCCCTCCCATGCTGATGTTAGCACCAGCTCTTTCCATCTCGTTGGCCATTCTGGTCAACTGAGTCCACCTATTTGTTCACCTTTCACCACAGAAAGCAATTCCCCATCTTCTGGGACATTGCTCTGGTAGCAATTTAGCAATTAGCTCTGGTAGCAATTTAAGAAAACCTGGACGCCAGCTGGGACTTCCAAGGAAGAAAAATAAGATGTGTCTGAGAGAAAACAGGTGCACCACAGCTCTGGGTTTGGTGAGCTCTAACAATACATCTGATGAAGCAGCAAAAATATTTTGGGTAACCTTAAGAAAAGCTGTCTCCTGCACTACATTATCATTAGTAATGGCACATTCCTGGTTTCAGTAAGTATATCAAGGATGTTTATTTTAAGGAGAAAGGGCACAGTTTATTTTGCACAGAACATGTTTGGGAATGTTTGTCATGATGTGTCAGTGACAATCCGAAAGACCTGGTGTTGCCCTCTTTGCCTATCACTGACTCCCTTGGCTCCCATCAGTTTGCATTCTTGGTATTGAACATGTCTCCCCCAGTGAAATGTTGATAATATTTTTAACAAAAAGAGCCTTCATATAATTGATATCTGCAAGAAACTGAGCTCCAAAAGCATGTTTTAACCTGTGTATTTTGTAAACACAACATGAAAAATTCACAGAGAATTTCTGTTACATCCTGAGGCAACTGTGAGTCTTTTCCAAAGTAAAGACTAGGGAGCTGTATGGTGTATAAGGAAGAGAAAGTGAACAAAGAGAAGCCAGATGGGAATGTACAAGCAGAATTTGCAATTAGTAGATCTTGTGCACCCAGCAAAAACTATTTATTCTGCTGTGGCTGCAAGACCGACTACCTTGTGGAGACACAGTATATACTGTCAGAAGGTTTTATGCTGGTTTAGGGACTTCACCTTCCTAAACAGCAGAAGGTACACTGACATGGGCTCTTGCTAGCACAGATATATCCGTCCCTGGAGTCCCACCAATGTAACAGTGTCAGCTACAGGATGTGCATTTTCCATGCCCTGAGCTGACCTTGGGTGTGCAAAACTTTGGCAAAGCTTTACAGTGTAGACAGGGCCTAAGGCAGGTATAATTTGCCAAATGTAGTGTTTAATGAGACAGCCAAATGAGCGTAATACACAGCAAGTTCAGTAAAGCCCCTAAGGGCTGGGGTCCTAGGAATGTGCTGTGATGTAGCAAAATAAGCTACTGATCCTTTTCATCCACCTCCCTGGTTAGACTGAGCTTGGCTTCTTGGGGGATGCAGTAGGGAGAGGCTCACAGCACAGGGAAACCGACAGACCTGCTTTTCTCCCTAGGCATTTAATGGTGCCTCTCTGCAATGATCAGGCATGGTCCTTCTGTTCTGGTGGGGCCACAAGAGGAAAGGGCCACAAAACACTGCTGTACCTGACATGGACAGTAGAGCTGTGTAGACCCAATGCAGAGGCAGGCAGAGGGCGTGTGGTATCATGGAAGAGAGCTGTCTGGGCCAGGGGTGGTTGTGTTGGCAGAGATATGGGACACTAGCGCAGAGGGACTATGTCCAGACGAGTACTACAGACAGGTGGCTCAGCTGTGAATTTACTCTCTTGTTACAAGCGCCTGGTGTAGGATATTTTATGTCGGATCCCAAAATTTGGACACTGTAATGTGGGGCCACTACGGAACAATCCAGTATGTAATTTTTTTTGTTATAAACATGGTTATTCTGAAAAGTGTATTTACTGGTTTGAACAGCTTTAATCTCAAGTACTTGAGGTACAGTAGTTGCATATTATTGTATTCCCCTAAAATGTTGTGATACCATCATTACAAATTCTGTACCTCGCTGTGTAAGTTAACTTGTACCTCTGCAAAAACGAGTGCGTCATGTCATACAAACACACAATTCAAACATGCCTATTACCCTGTAACTCTTAACATTTCTACAGTTGGAAATATGAAGAAAAGACTAACAAGTGGATTTCTAAACAGCTGTGAAGGACAAGAGAGGTTTTTGTGGGAGGGTCTTTTTAGGGTCTTTTTTGTCTTTTTTTTTTTTTTTTTTTTTTTTTTTTTTTTTTTTTTTTTTTTTTTTTTTTTTTTTAAAGGCAAATCCTTTTATGTCTTCTGCTAGAAAAGCTGCTCACCGGTCTTGTGGTTTGTGGATGAGGACCAGAACCCATTGATCTGTGCACTGGAGGGAAGGCACTGATCACTGGGTAAGGCTTTCCTGTGTTTAGCACCTGCTGGCAGATGCAGCACCTTTTAAATGTCTCGGAAAATGACACTTGATTGAATTTTTTTTCATTTTGAGATAAAGTTCTTTTTTCCTTTCACACAGCTTTTGTTCTTTTAGATGGATTTAATCATAGATTAGAACCATTAGAAACATATGGTTTGAGAGACCTCCTGGACGTGCATCAGACCAGCAGGTTTCTCTGTCTTTTGCTGGCAAAAGTTTAAACTGTAAGGAGAACCTAATGGGAATGCTAAGAGTTGCAGTTCTAAAAACTGAGCTCTCCGAGCAAAATCTCTTTGAACGTAAGAGAAATTAGTTCTGTTTCATCAAGGAGATAAGAAAATAAACATGACCATTCCTTGGCTCTGAAATGGTTTTTATTCAACGAAGTAATCTCTGTTTAGAAAGACATTTAGAGCTCACCTGCTTGACAGTAGCTTTCTCTCTGACACTCATCTTTAGATTGTAAGAAATAATAGACTAATGCTGTTTGTTTTGTAGAATTTAGAAATGTGTTGAGAGATGACACTGTGAAACAAACAGAAGTTTAAGTAAGAAGGTATCCCTGGAGGATGGTAGCATAGCCCTGCAAGAGGCTAAGGTATACACTAAGGCGGGGGGGAGGAAGATTGAAGTCTGAAGTGCTGCTTGTTGGCTCCCCCTTCTCCCATTTCTGCTCTGTGAGCACAACCTAAACCAGATCTCCTGCTGATATGGAGGTCACACAGTTTATTTCTGTCGCACTCACATGGTCTGGCCAATAACAGGGGAGCATGAATCAGAAGCTTATTTTAAAACCAAAAATATATGGTGTCACTTTGCATTATGATAGCATCCAGGACCAGTTAGGATCAGGGCTTCATCTATTACATGCTGAATCTATTACAAGTTGAACATGTTGTGTTGTTGATCCTCTGAGAAATTGCAACCCAAGATGCAACAAGCTGTAGGAGGAGAAGGGAGGGTAAAGGAGCTGAAGTGTTGGGTGGTCTGCATAACGCTAGAAAGGAGACAAAAGGCTATATGCTAAAAACTGTCACTTATAACTATTTAGGCAAGTAACTGAAAGATAAGACTTGGAACAGAGGAAAAGACCTTCTTTGTTTAACTAAACACTAAAGACATCTGAAAGATCTTGAGTTGATGTGGGGCTGGGGTGGGAGGAGGCAGGACAGGCAGGTGAGCAGATTAATGGCATTGTTGCAGCTTGCCCATATAGTGTTTGGGCTCTTTATTTCCTCAACTATATTTATTTGGTGGGATATTGTTGATACAAACTTGGTCTGGAAAAATAAAATCAACTTATTTGAAAAGGTCGGCTTCATGAGAATTGTATTATTGTGTGCCCCCACTGTTTTTCAGGGCTGGTGACCTATATGTGAAAGCATGACTGACAGCAGTTGCGATTGCAAAACAAACTGGAGAAGAAATGAAGAAACGCCTCATGCTGAGGATGTAAGATGGGGAGGAGAGAGAATGAAACTAGTTTGTCACATAGTGCAAAAATGTCTCTCTCTCTTTGTCACATCTTCCACTTATTAAAGGCAATATTGTTCTCTCCAGGCACTCAAATGAAAACTCAGAAATGAAAAGTCAAAAAGGCAATTAAGTGATCTGTGCATGGATGCTGCTGCCGTCTCCAGAAGAAAAAATGAGTGCTTAATCAGAAGCATAAATTCATAAGACTGGCTAATGATACTCTCCTTCAACCTGAGCACTTCTGCTGGAACAGAGGGATATTCAAAATCTTCCTGTCTCCTGGAAAGTCCATAGAGCTGGAGGCAGTATCATGGAATCCTTGGTTAGGTATGTAGTATTCAGCAACTTCACAGATCAGCTTCCAGGAAACCTTTACAGCTTTTGTAATAAAAATAGCATTCTTATATGACTTTGTTTATGGTGGGGCCCCACAGTGAATTGTTTGGGTTTTGTCTGTAATATTTCTAGCCAGTTGGTCTTGCAAAGAACAAGTGTAAGTTGGAGCCTTACAGCGTTTAAACTCTACGAGAAGGAAATAATATTTTAAGAGAAATCATATTTTGGGCCCAGCAAGTTTGACATTGACTAGTGCTGCCAGAGTTTTTAATATTATTGAATTCAACAATCTTTTCCATCAATTTCCAGAATCATCTGGAACATTCCCTCTTAAGTGAAATAAATGCTTGTAAGCTGCCAGGTGATTAACAATGTTTGCTGAGATGTGAGGGTGTCTCAGGAGACTCTGCTTTGTTTTGCTACTGTAATTTCCAGTAAAGATTTGGTCAAGACTTGAAACTGTCTCAAATGATGTATTTTGCAGCTTTAAGTTAAAATTCAGACCTGCCAAAAGGTTCTTGATTGTTAGTTTTTCTGGCTGAAACCACCTAATTTTTCCACTGTGCTTTGTACATCTAGTTATGGATGACCATTTTATCTCTCTGGCTTCAGAAAAGACAAACACTGTATCACTTCCTAAGTGTGAGGGGAAAAAAACCCTACTAAAATATTAGTAAGAATTTTCAAAGGATTACAAATTAATCAGATACTGTGCAAATAAACACTGAAAGTGTAAGCCCTAGTGAAAAGATTTGCAGCCTAAAAGAGACAAGCCATTGCTTACGTTTAAAGGAAAGGGTAGAGGTGGAGAAATTAATGGTTTTGAGGAGGAATCTAAATTGAGAGGGCATTTGGCAGACAAAATGAAAGACTAATCAAGCATAAAGAGCAGCAAAGACTCAGTCACAAAATAAGGCGAGGAAGAAGTAAACTTAAGGAGGGAGAAATGGGAGGAGACCATAAGAAATAAAAGTGGAAATGAGACTAATGATACCTGGACCCTGCAAGGGATATCAGAAAGACTGATAGCTAACAGTGTGAATTCGTTAGCAAATTATTGCAGATGCAGGATATCATTGCGAAGTGACTAAGCGTTCTTTTCAAGTTGAGCCTCATGTAGCGCCAGTGCAGCACCTGCTAATTTTGTTAATGCGAGGGGATGCTTAAATGGCATTGGGTCTTCAGCATTTTAAACTATGCAGCCCTCACCATTCTGGTTCATATGGTTCTGCAGAAATTGTAGTGGTCCCATGGGCACAATCAACAACCGTGCCTGCAATGTTTTAGCTGTCAGCGTATTGGGTCCACTGAGTACCTGAGATATTTTGCAGTGGAACTATTTTGACTTCAGTGTTGCTTATACTATACTCTCAAAAGCACTTGGAAAAGCTTCTGAGTATAGGCATGTTCTGCTTTTGCGGAATAAATAAATGTGCATGGGAAGCAGTGGAAAACTGCAGTCATTGTAAACATGACAGGAGGGTTAACTGCAACCATGTTTGTTTCACTGACCCAGAACCGTGATCACCAACCAACACATAAATATATATGCATGTGCATGCATATATACATTTATATAGTTATAGTGAAACCCTAATGGAAACAGCATAAATGTCATAATTAATGACTCTAGAATACTATACAGTCTTCTTTCATGTAAGAAACTATAATTTATGTGTCTTCATTGTGTATGTACACTTTATATATAATACATTACATAGAATGGATTTTTTTCATGGTGGTAAGCCATTCTTTTTAAGTCCTTAAATATTCTAGGCTGTACAGTGTAATTAATAATAAGTGGAAGTTTTGTTTTCATGGTAGGAAGCTTTTATTATTCTTTTTTTCTGTTCCAAGATGTGTTTCATTTGTTTTGTACGTTACAAAAAACACACAAATGGTCTTGGAAAGTGTGAGTAGAGATGGCTCTGTTGGTTTCTGTAAGAAAAAGAATAGGAACAAACAAAAACCTCTGCACTGATAGCTGAATGGAAAACTTATTAGAAGAATCATTTTAGCTATGGTTTTTGAAAATGTGAAAAACTAGGCCAATATTTGGATATTCAAAATCAAGTTAGTAAATTTAGTTAAATCATTTAGTCGCTTTTACCTTCTCACAGCTGAAATACAGTTAAACAGATTTAAACATTATTTATAGAAAAGAAATACATTTGGAATGAAAAAACATAAGATGCATTTTAACATTGCTGCTTTCTAAGCTATGTAAATGCAGGTTTATGATGAAATGATGACTGATACTAGTAACTTCAAGAACCATTTCTTCTGTGTATTATTCTTCAGCTGGAGACAGTATTATTTTTCATTCTTTTTCTAGTTATAGCATGGTTTTGTGTTTTAACTGTGCAGAGTATGAATTACCTTGCCCTAATGGAAATGTATGTATGTGATGCAGCATTGGCACAGTAAACGCCCATGTGCATATAAATTGTGCACCAAATAAGAGTAATTCTTCAGAGTAGTATTAAGATATGACCTCATTCTGACACTGCACAGAGAATATTTGTGTCATAGTATTAGCAACTTGTGAAGAAAGATGAAAAGGCAGCAAGAAGGTTGACAGGTCTCGCTCTTTCCCCACTAGTTAGAGTCTGGAGATTGCCCATACGAAGCAGATCACATATGCAGGAAACTTTCTGGGATGAAAGGCCTTAGACAGAATGAAACTTTTTATTATTTCTGTATTAGACTTAGGTATTCAAGAGATTAGTTACTATGAGGAGACATTAAGAAAGTGACATTGAAAAGACAACTAAATTTGCTTGAAAAATAGCGACAACACGAATTAGGAAAGAGCAACTTCCTAAAATTTTGTTGAAGTGCTGCAATGCCAGATAACCTCCCAGAACAGCCATGGACAGCAGACAAAGTGACATGAAAGTCAGATAAACTGAGGAAGTACCTCAAATAGGTCCTCCATGAGAAGAGCCAATTTAGTTTTCCAAGTCAGCAAGCTACATAAAGCTCTCAGCAGCCTTCATTACATAACCTGTGCAAGTGATACTGTAGTGTCTTGGGTGTGAACCCGTGTGGAGAGGTGCAATGTAGTAATCTTGCACTGGCAGGAGGAGGAAGAGATGCACCGATTGACCTAGTAGGTATTTCCCCTACTCATCAAAAAGGAATAGGCATGGACAAGCCACGGGGAGCACTATGCCACTGAATAGCCTTCTGTCTAGTTATAGTGTCTCACCTTCTATTTTTAAGTGTCTCATGGAAGTGCTGAGGAAAAGCAATATAAAAGAAAAAGAATGTAAATATTATGGTTCAGGGATATCAGCTCCAGTCCAAGTGAAAGAACCTGCCTTTCAGTGAAAGCTTTGAGGGGCTTCTAGTTCAAAGGATTTCAGAGATGTGGAGAGGCAGCTATATACATTACGTTCTTCTCTATCGGTCACCCCTTATTGATGGCAGATAAGTTAAAATAAGGAAGAGCATCCCTCCTAAGCAGTTCTGAGAGGACGGAAACACTGGCATGGGAAAGAGCAGCTACAAGGTGGTAAATACTTTTTCAAATGACAGGATAGTTTTTCTGCTGAGGCTGGAAGTGTCAATGTCGAAACAGCTTTTGCTCGTGTCTCAGACCTTCTGATGCAATCGGCTATTTCAGTGCATGATAAAATACTCGGGAAAAACCCCCACAGTTTTAAGGCTTTATTTTAGGAGGGCTTTTTGCTCTTCATAAATGTAGTGATCTTATTGTGGTTTTATCTTTCAGGATTAAAGGACTACTGGCAGATATCTTAGGACTAAAATGTGGCTTAGACTTTGCTTTTTGTTTTGCTTTTTACAGAGCAAAGTGAGTGGGAATATCTGTGAGTTGGAAAATATATCCACAAGACCACTGGAAACTGCATATTTTTATTTAAACTCGATCCTGCTGTGCTTAGTGTCAGAGTTGAAAAGTGAACCTGGTATGAACAGAAAGTGAAGCAGAAAACTACAATTTGGCTTCCCCAGATCAGCAAATGGCAAAATCAAGTGAGATCCTGAATGTAAAAAGTGAATGCTTAAAATGTTTTGGGCTTAATCACAATTTTTATTGTTAAGGACTTAATTTTAAAACTACGCTGTTTGTTACAATAGCATCTTATGTATCTACAGACTAGAAAGCAGCCTGCATCAATTAATTCTTTGCTAAAGCAGCATAAGCATAAGTTCAAAGATTTTGTTACTTTTCTGATTTATTTCTCTCATCTGGCTTTGCATAAGCTCTCTGTGTTGACAATATTAAAATGCTTTCTAATTTGTGATTAGTGCATAGTAGCAAGGGGAAGGAAGGGTTGGCACGAATAGCTTTTAGCAAGCAGGTATGTGTTTCTTTTTTATTTCTCAGCCAGGGCTTTGTCAGAGTGGAAGAGCTGCAATTGGTTAATACTCAATACTCAGACAGGCTGTTGAATTTCCAGTCTGGTTTTCTAATTTAGAAGTGCTACTGGATGACATAAATGGTAAGAATAATTGTAAATTCTATGTGAAAAAAATAAAATGGAAGGGAATCCTTGAGACTGTAAGAAAAGGTCTAAAGTAGTCCTTTAAAAGCTAGAACAGCTTCAAAAATTATTACAGTCCCAGTTTGAGTGTTTTGCTTATATTTCAAGTGAATGTTTTTCTCACTGATGCACTCTTTAAACTCACCTTATGATATTTATTTGCCATCTAGTTCAAATCAAGGAAATGAAAAAGACTGAAGGGTAATCAGTGAGCAACCCTTGAAAAAATACAGTACTGACAGACTGGACAAAGCCAGCAAGAAAAGATTAATTCTTTATTTGCAGTTTCAGAATTTTTGTTATTGTTGAGAGGTTTTGAGATGGAAGTTTGTAAGAAAAGTAAGTAGAGTCTGTACTGCTGAGTGCTTTAGATACTGTCATTCCTTCCTTTAGCGATTCCTTCTTTCAGTATCTGCCACTTTCTCTTTCTTCTCCTCCCTAAAAGCAATACACAAAAAATAGTATTTAAAAATTATAAATTTTACAGGCTGACCAGGTCCTATCCTGTGATCATGTTGTGTCATCTGCTGGGTGTCTTCATCTGTCTGTGCTCTTATTCATTATGCTGCAGAGTACCCCCAGGCGCAGTTGGCAACAGAAGCTTTAGATTGAGAAGGATTGTCCAGCTCCTCAAACAGAACAACGTTGCCCTTTTGTTCCCCATGATGCATGAAATGAATACTTGCCTGGGTTAGTGGCATGGACCGCTGTGTTCCTTCACTTTAGCTCCCTTCCATCCTGATCGACTGTTAAAAGGATAGATATTTGATCTGCAGCAAAAGAATGTTTAGTCTTTTCAGAGCCTTTCTCATCTCTGGGAAGCTGTCACAGGGAAAAACGTTGAGGATAAGGGCAGATAATGGCAATACAGGTTTGCGGAGAATATTAGTCCTGTCATGTTCTTTTCTTTTCTTTTCTTGCCTTTTTTTTTTTTTCCTATTTTTTCCCCTGTGCAGTTTGAATGGAAAGGAACATAGGAGACCTAATAGGAAATCTGTAGCCAGAGTGCCCTATTACTTCATCACAGACTCTTAGGAGATGGTTCTCTTCCCTCATCCCTAAAAGTAAAGGCGATCTTAGTTTATCTGGCTTCTCAGATAACCTGTTACAGAAGGCCACCTCAATATTTGAAAAGTACTGACTTTATTTGAAAAACATTAAGTCCTGTAATGGATTACATTGGAAGAGGGGCTAACTGGGCTGGAGATGGGGGGTGCTTTGAGCAGTCTTAACTGATGGAAGGAGAAGATAGGTAGGGAAGGAAAAAACCTCCCCTGCCTACTAAAATGCCACGTACCTAGGACTGGTCCTGTGTAAACTCTCAGAGCTCCCAAGTACTGGCTTTTATACTGTACTTCAAGTGAGACCAAAGAATGGAAAACTGGTCGTCTGAGTTATTTTGAGGTTTTTATTATGTTCAGGGATTAATTTGGATGACAACAATGGTGTTTTTAGTGCAACAAGTAGAATTAAATAAGCAGTCTGGCAGAAGATCTGAGAAGCAGAAGGTGAAAATAAATAAAATGGAGCAGTGAAGAATGCAGAAAGAAACAGAAAGTGTTCAAAGGCATGCAAACACGATGAAGGCTGAAGCCAAATTCATATGCAAACATCTAAGGTACAAATTCTCTTCCCTCCTTTTTTCCTTCCCCTGACAAAGTGCATATACAGCTCCTGCCCTCTCTTGCGTTTACTCTCATGACAGAATTTAAGTGATGGAACAGAGGAAAAAGGAGGCAGATGTGACTATGTGGCAAGTTGCTTTGCCACTCAGTTGTGGATGGGAACCACATCTTCTTATGTAGTTTGTGGGAGGGGGATTTATTCTTTCAGCATTTTGAGAAAGACTTATGATTCCACCTGGATTTATGCACAATAGCTTTCCTGTCTGTACTCTTTATCTTTCTTTGAGAGCTCTCTGACTAAGTTATTTTCCTCCTGGGATGTATAAAGTATACTCTCACCTACACTGGGATAAGAGACTCTTGAATACAAAGGCCTCTGCTGAAGGTCTTTTGCAAGTATTGTCCATTCCCATGAAATTTCACCTGGAGCTCATCTGTAGGGCCTTACTCAGGTTGGGTCATGTGGTAGGGCATTATAAACTCCAAATGGTATAGCTTTGTGCTATGATACTTGTTATAGGAAGTTCACACCAAGGCTCTAAACTAGCAAGCCATTTAAGCTTTTTAATTGTAACAATTTTTAAGTCATCTCACTGAAGTCAGTGGTACAGTGCCTGAGCTTAAAGCTGAAATCATGCTGAAGTGCTTTGCTGGCTTAAAGCCCAAGCTGGCTTTCAGTGTATTATAGGCAGCCTTTCCTGGGATGATGGTGAATTAGAATTGTGCTAAAGTATTTCTAGCAAGATGAAAAATCACCTCACATCTAAAGGTTTTATTGCTTTTTCCGCTTTCTATGAACTCAAAAATGAGGCCATTTCTATGAAAAATGGCACTTGAGAATACAAAATTTCCAGAAGTGAGGATGCCTTTTCTAACAGAAGTTGAATGCATGGTGAACAATCCTTTTTGAAAAAAACAGTGCTATCTCTGGAAACGGTGGTCCTGTGTGAAGCTTTGGACCTGCAAAGTTAACTAAATGCTGTGAACTATGTCTGGTTCTAAATTAAATTTACCTTAGTGCCCCAATCCTGTACTGAGGTCTGCCCAGAGCCGGTGTGATAGGGCTTCAGAGGTGCCTGTGGGTCTGCATGTCTGTGTCCATTTGCTGCTGGGGGCCTAAGTACAATGAGGTGATATGTATGTATTGTTCTCAGTGCCTGCTAACGGTTGTCTTCACAATTTGTCAGTACAGAACTGCTTAGTGAGTCCATCCAAAATCCTGCTCCTGAAGAAGAGATTGGTTGGTGTTTACGGAACAGAAAGTAAGTCATGGCCGATGGTTAAACAGTATCTGATAGTTTCTGCTCTTCTTTGTGTATTTCACCAGACACATTTGTCCTGCTATAGGCAGGGTACTCCTGAAGAGCCATATTCTTCTGCACTTTGTAGTTGCATAGTGAGTAATTTGAAACCATGTAATTTATTTAAAGCCAGTTCACTACTTAGCTTGCAGAATCTCTATAAGAAATACTTCAGGTCCCTTGGCCTTATTTTTTTCAGATTTGTTTTGAACAGCATGTCTGGAACATGTGTTTCATGTGTTAGATTTCCTCTGTGGATTCATCTTTGACATTCAACGTGTGAACTTTTCTTATAATTAGTTCTGATCCGTAGAGCTAGTTCAAGTACCACTGTAGATAGTTTAACTCGGTTTTCTTGTTGGCAGTCACAAAACACTGACAGGATGCAGTCCTGTAGCTGAGCGGGAAGGAGTGGAGTTCTGCCCCAACTGATTTCGTACTGAAGTCAGAGGATACTCACTCACACTTTTGTATGCACACAGCAGGTCCACAAAGCCAGTGGTCAAGTATTTAGCAAATGCATTCAACACACAGATTTCCACAGATCCTTGGGTATGTGCATTAGTTAGATAAATCTACCTCTCAGCTGGATGAGGTTTTATTCCATGATTTCATGAGAACTTGCTTTACCAACATCTGTAAATTTAAAGTGGGCTTACTTTCAATACCTTTGTCAGTTGGATTTGATTGTTTCAAGTGGCACCTGAAGAGGAAAACAAAAGGAGCAGTGGTTAGAGCAGACTCATTGAAAATCGAAATATTCCCTTTTTTCCCTTTATTTGCTTGGGGTTTTGGGTAGGTTTTACGGGGGGATGTGTTAATTAGTCATGGAAAAAAATCCAAAGCAGCAAGAGCAAAAAACCCAGACTGCTCCGGAAATGGTCTGAAGTTTTTTCTTTACCTTTGATTGTATATCTTGCCTGCATTTTCTTGCCAACAATTGCAGAAGTCTTGCCTGTTTCAGGAAGGGGGATGAGGGCACTCGAGAAGTGTTGACTATTTTATTTATGCTTATCTTAGTAGCAATAAATAACGCACTGTTCTCAGTGCCTCATCCACGCTAATATCTGATCTAGTGTTCTCATCCACGCTAATATCTGATGACTTTTGTGGCTCTAAGTCCAAGGGCAGAAACAGCAGCAAGGGCAGAGAACATGGGCTGCATTTTGGAAACGCCTTTTGTCAGGCAACCTGTTACACATGGGTTTGGAGGCTCTTCCCTGCGCTGCCCTGGCTCTGGGCACACCCTCTGTGTACATTCTGCACATTCCACAAGTGACTTTGCTTATATAACCCTCGCTGCGCTACCTTCCTCTCCCCACATAGGTGAACTGCCAGCTGCCCTCACTTAAAACAGCACCGCCGTCCTCACCCACCATCCAGGCTTATTATACACAAGTCAGTCTTCATTTCTGATTCCGTTTCTCTTGTTGCTAATAGCTAAACACCTAAGAGTCTCAGTCTTGGGGTATTTCTTTTCAGGGCAGAGCTAAGGCAGTGGTCTAGCAGCTGCAGAAGCCAAAGTGACTTTGTATGTTACTGTACCTTCCTGGATTGAAATCTTAAAAACTGTTCACCCAGAAGAACTGCATAGCAGTGCCATTCAGTAATACGGATGATGGGAGGTTGCAGACTGGAGCCCAGCATATGTGTCTGCTGCTGCTGTTTTCATTGAAATGCCTTGTGCTGGGCAAACCTGTGCACCATCCTGAGCCACCTCTTCTCTTTCCAATGGAAGGAATGCTAACACCCAACTTGTAAAAAAAACAAAATAAAAAAAAACCCCAACAAACCAAAACCCAACCAAACAAACCCCCAAACACCAAACCTCTGAGATCCTTGCACAAAGATGTGCTTTAGGTACAAAGTGTACCTACACACATTTAAAATAGCGTAATTAGAATAGATTCATCCAGGACATGAGTTCAGGTTTCAGCTTTTCTTGCCAGGTGCTGGTGATTTCATAAAAGTGAACATTTTTCTATTTGAACTGCTCTACCAATGCTGTCAATAATCTGTCAGGAATAATTGCTAATAAATGATTGTAATGATAATGTTGTCAATGCCAATAACATTAATAAATACAGAATCTGCTACTCAATGGCAGGTTGAACAGGTAAAGGGAGTAATAGTCTCAAAAGACTGTGGTCTAAAATAAGCTCATTGTGTTTTACTGGTTTAGGATTTTTAATTTTAAAATTTGGTTTTCAAAGATGTTAAGTGCCACCTTTAACCATTATCAGATTTATCTGTAGAAATTTCTGCTGGAACCCATAGGACAGTTTTCATTTTCAAAGCTGCAGAGCATTTCTGGCTCCCGCTGCAGTCGGTTGGAATTGTGGGCATGCAGGAACTTTAGGAATGAATTGTTAGGTTAGTTGTTGTTATTAATTTATTTGGGAAACACAAACAGTATGACTCATTAACTCATGTCTTGAAAAATGCTGTACTCTTTCTTCACAATAAGCATACTACTGGAAAGCACTATCTTCCAACATTGACTTTAAGTAGAATTTGAGCAACAGAATTATGAATGGGGACTTACTTCACTAATCTGCAAAGCCCTGGAAAGCTGATAATATTCAACAGAGACAAAAACACGGGAGTTCAAAATCATATGTTTTATATCTTTAATGAAACCACCAGAATATGTCTGAATGACATAGGACATACATAAATATGATGTCACCAGCTTGAAAGCATGTCTTCCTGAGGTTTTTTGCATTGGTTCCTGATCTGGGGTTTTAATTTGATGTCATCTATTTGATCATTATATCCTGTTTCTTTTAAAATCCTTGGCTAATTTACTTTCTTTTGCTGTAATTTCCATTTCCAAATTCTTTGATAAGTGTCAGCCAGTGCCTTTTCAGACATTTCCTCTGTATATAACCCAGAGAGCTGCTTAATCATGTCGTATGTGCAGCAATATGGTTTTATTATTATTCATGTCTTTCTAAAAGCTGAAGCCAAATCTTAATTTGAGAGCACAATAGCCCAGTCTTTGAAAAAAAGAGAAAGAATAGTAAGTCACTGCGGACCCAACAATTTCCTTAGCAACCTTTCATAATAAAGGGCTCTGTAAAGTACTTTTCACTCTCAGATTCTGTCACCTGTGTGTCCTTGGATCTGCCCTTTTGCTCTTGTGACAGTCTTTGCTCAGGCAAGCTCTGTACCAGAATTGAAGGGATGTGTTACAGAAAGCTAGACGGCAGAGGAAATCTTCTTCCCGACTCTTCTTTGCTGTGTTTCTTTTTTGAAAGGGCAGACTTCCTTTGGGAGAGACCTGTATGTGACTGAGTCCCCACAGTTTACAGTGTCATCTTTGGAGGTGGCAACGTTCCCAGTACCTATCAGCACTGAGTGCCATAAGCACCAAATTTCACATCTATCTCCTTTGTGAGGAATATAAATAGAAATCAAAACCAGTTGTGCAAATGCGTTCTGTAAGTAAGCTGAAAAGAAATGCCTCCTGCCTGTATGTACTGTAACTCCTCTGTCTAGATACTTCCATTGATACATTCTATTTGTTGGTTGTAAATCTAAATCGCTGTGTCCGAAGACATTTGCAACTAGATCATCCATGTAAAGTACTTTTCACTCTCAGATTCTGTCACCTGTGTGTCCTTGGATCTGCCCTTTTGCTCTTGTGACAGTCTTTGCTCAGGCAAGCTCTGTACCAGAATTGAAGATATGTGTTACAGAAAGCTAGACGGCAGAGGAAATCTTCTTCCCGACTCTTCTTTGCTGTGTCTTTTTTGAAAGGGCAGACTTCCTTTGGGAGAGACCTGTATGTGACTGAGTCCCCACAGTTTACTGTCATCTTTTTGGAGGTGGCAACGTTCCCAGTACCTATCAGCACTGAGTGCCATAAGCACCAAATTTCACATCTATCTCCTTTGTGAGGAATATAAATAGAAATCAAAACCAGTTGTGCAAATGCGTTCTGTAAGTAAGCTGAAAAGAAATGCCTCCTGCCTGTATGTACTGTAACTCCTCTGTCTAGATACTTCCATTGATACATTCTATTTGTTGGTTGTAAATCTAAATCGCTGTGTCCGAAGACATTTGCAACTAGATCATCCAGTATAAAACTATTGAGAGAGAGAGAGAGAGAGATCATCTGGCACAGGAAATATTTTATTGGAATGAAGAAAAAAATGGAGACATGAACTAAAAAGGCATTACATTTTGCATTGTTTAATATTCTAAAAATAAACTGGGAACATAAAAGTATCTGATACATACTTTTTCTTTTTTTCTTTTTCTCTCTTCTTCTCCTTCTCAGACATGTGTACTTGTAAAATTTAATGGAGTGGAATTGCCTGAAAGAACGGGACCATTTTTAATACACCTTTCTGTGGCTCCTTGGTACATATGTGAACAATTTTAATAAAAAATGTTGATTCGTAGTGATTCTTAGACGTCTTGTGGTTGATCATCTGTACTGGACAGATGGATTCGGTCACTGTAAGCCAAATAAATAAATTAGCGCTATCTTTGAAATGTATAGCTACACTTGGCATCTGCAGTTACCGTACTCCCTCCCCTCAGTTCAGATGCCTTCACCTACACTGCTGAACTGGCCTAACTTTATATTCTGTTTGGCCTTGAGTTAGAACAGAGGACCACCTGCATGAAAGAGATGTGAAATGTTATGCGTGCCTTTGTAATGGGATAAAGTACCAGAGTACCAAGTCTGCAAATATTTTACTGAGCAGGTCATGTATTAAGTAAAGCACTGAAAGGTAAAATGATAAATGATGAGGTCATCGTTTTAGAACTGGTGTCCAGGTGGTAAAAAGCCAGAGGGCTGACATTTAGAAAAAAGTGACTTCCTTTAAGCTTCACTGACTTGGTGTGTTGCCTTCATTGTACAGGATGAAGCCGTGCTGTCTCGGCTAGCTTTTTGGCCTGTTTGTGTATAAATCTGCCTGTAAAGCAAGAACCTTGTAAAGGAAGGA